AACTAGTTAGAATAGTTAAACTTATTAGACTAGTTTCGCAGACATCCTTGTCTATACAGACTCGCAAGCATAATCACACGAAGACTGATTTGGTTAGAGTTGGTTAGTTTAAGTTATTTGGAACTATTTTCATTGGCAGAGCAAAAAATATGCAAAGAAACTGACAACACCGTGTCTAAAATATAAGTTACTCACTATTAATTTCTTGTCTATTGAAAACAGTTCTATAAATTAGGCCAATGCTGTAATCATGCTGTTGTTATGAATATATTAGAACTGAACAGCTGGATCAACGGCATGATTATTTTGCATTCTTAATTCAATTTTGTGTAACAATGTTTTGGAATTCAGATTTGGAAATAATGAGTTTCAAAAAAATCATCTGCAATTACTCTCTGCTAATTTGTTACACTGCCAATGTAAGGTCAAGTCGACAATGCATTGTGGGATACAGCGCAGTGTACTTTGTTGTATATTGCACATTTCAATGAATACCATGAAGTCATCTGGCTTTTCTTTGCAAACAGAAAATCCTAGTAATTCGTGAAGAATAAGTACTTCATACTGCAGAAACAATAAGAGTATTACGTTAGTATGCTATTCCAAACTTAACCAACTAAACACAAGGCACAGAAATTGCACATTTCACCTTTAAAAGACGTGTGCTCCCTTATTTCCTGAACAGACTCTTTTGTGTAAACTGGCTTGGACTTTGTTAGATTGTCTGCTTGCATGTGTTTGCCATGTGTGTACGCGCACACACACACACACAAACACAAATCCAGCACACCATCAGTCTCTTCAAAAGCAGCCTGCACCCCTGAGGGTGATCAGGGGAGATTTTGCATTTCTTTCTTAAAAAGGAAAACAGTCTCAATGTCCAGAGGCAGAGATGGAATGCTAATGAAACCGCAGAAAAGGCTATTTTTACGTACAGGTTTCCCCTTGACATCGTTTCATATCTCTGGGTCACCTCAGCACTCCGCCTGAGGTGTTTATGCTGGCGAGAAGACACGCCAGATCAGTTGATGCCATTGAAAAGCAAACGAGAAACAACAGTGAGTCATGACAGAGTCAGGCGGGCTGCTTTCACTCTTGCAAGGAAACGCATCCAAAACTGAGATCGGCTGGAATGAAAATAATCAGATGAGATCGTGTTACAGGGCAGGGGGCTCGAAAGGGGGGCAAACGGTGCATTCTGTCCTTGTACTGAATGCAGGCCGCCCTTCTCTAGCCAGGGAGGTGCTGTTTGACTTTGCCAAACTTTGGCTGCTGGAGATACAGGTATTGTACTCTGAATACAATATTGTGAATATCATGATGATTTTAATTTAGCCATTCAGACTAAAGTTCAAAACTAGTTAGAATAGTTAAACTTATTAGACTAGTTTCGCAGACATCCTTGTCTATACAGACTCGCAAGCATAATCACACGAAGACTGATTTGGTTAGTTTAAGTGAGTTAATCTGAGTGTTTCAGACACCTGCAATAAACTGATTCATAACTGAGTCAATGATTCATTTGCAGCATCATTCAGAAACATATTAGTGAAAATATATGTATGATGTAAGTAAATATTACTATATGTTGTTTTATATGAATAGTTGAATAATGAATAATTATGAAAAAAAAAAACTATAATTAAATGTTAAAAGATTTAAATGTTTTTGTGTCTGTTTTTGCATGTGACATACTGTGCCAGTAGGTGGTGATACTGGAGGGTGGGGGGTTTCTATATGATACCAAGATCTATGACCCTTAAATCCACATTTGAACAGAATATCTTATATTTTCCTGACAAATTTTGTATTCGTTTTTTTTTATACTAAAGCAAGGATTTGGTTGTAGAAATAATCATTATTTTACTATACTAATATACAAATCATCACTATATCACATTATTATTTTGCTGATCGTGAGATTCATTTAAACATTATGCAATATACAATAAATGTGTCTTTCTGATAAAATCTGAAAAGAATCCATATTTGTTGTGCTAATATTCACCCACTTAAATGTACTTAATACACATTGTTTGATACAGTTTCATTATTTTAAAGGGATACTCCACCCAAAACTGAACACTCTGTCATTATTAACTCAACCTCATGTCATTCCAAACCTACATGACTTTCTGTCTTCTGTGGAACACAAAGAAAGATATTTTGAAGCAAGTTGGTAACCAAACAGTTTCCATCGCCACTGACTTCCATTATATTTTTGACCATACAATAGAAGTCAATGGGAGCTGAAACTCACCAACATTCTTATAAATATCTTCTTTTATGTTCCACAGAAGAAAATCATACAGGTTTCAAACGACATGAGGGTGCGTTAATGATGACAGATGCCTATAGAAACGGCCCTGGTGATGACTTCACTTTTGGCGGGAATCCTGGCTCTAGTGCAGAAACGTCAGGCGTAAACCATGCTTTAACTTCTAGACCTCCCATGATGGAAGCTGACATTCCATTCCGGCTGAATCTTCACCACAGCAGGACTCAAATCAGGTGAATATCCCCCCAACCATCCTGCCATAATGGGAACCTTGTGTTGCTTTTTCACTCTCTGAAGTCACACAGGAGGTGATGTAATTTCCAGCGGCCATTGCAGGCTTTCTGCGGTACAAGCCCTGTCTGTAACGCTGTAACACATTCTCTCTCAGTGACCCAATCGGGTTAATGACTATGTTTCATTAGAGGGACAGACTGACTGGTCGGTGGGAGCAGCTGCCACCCCTCACAAACATCTCAACCTTTATCCATTAGCTCTCATCAGATGCTGGGACGGGCAGTGGAAGACACCCCCCAGGCGGTCCACCCTCCCCTGGACTGACCTCTGCAGATGAGCCCCTCATTGTTTACAGTCTGCTTGCACACGCCACAGTGCTTCCCCTTCTTGAACGTCTTCAGCCGGAAGGTGTGGGAGTGGACGGCTTCAAACTCTTCAGGCTGCAGTGGAAAAGAAACAAGGGATATTATAGAGACACGATAAGGACTCTTACAACTACAGCAAGACGATCCAAAAAATAAAAAGAATATTATCTTGATCAACCAAAGGAACCATCATTTCAAACAAACCACCAATGAAATCTAATGCAAGAATTAAAATACAGTAAAAATCTACTTCAGTATAAATTGCAAAGATATTATTTAAACTGAACTGAGCTGGATGTTGACATCACTGAATTCAATGATGAACTGTCTTTAACTGAAAAATGAGTGTTTACTATTGTCATTTTGCATTATGGACACTATTTTCCTAATTAATGCTGTTCAGTTGCTTTGTCACAATCTGTATTGTTAAAAGCGCTATATAAATAAAGGTGACTTGACTTGACTTGACTAACTCTAACCATTCAGCAGAAGAACATGGTCAAGTTTGAGTAATTCATCAATGGATAGGACAAAACAAGGAGATACAGTTCCTGTCTGTCAATGGAAGATCATTTATACTTAATTATAGAAAAGACTTTTGTGCAGACTGACAAAAATAAAGGTACTATCAAATGCATCGTGATGACCAGGGCCGTTTCTGACCATTTCAACAAGATCCTTATTGATCCATGTTGGTATTTTTAAATAATACTAATCTCAAGATGTATTAAGTGAAAAATAAATATACAATAAAAACATTAGGCCATGTCTGCATTACATTGTTTTGTTTTCTGGATTAAATACATTTAAGTAAATGAATACATTACGAAAAAATGTATTACATAATTTCATTACATAAATTTGAACCGTTTAATCAGATCTTGCGGCTTAATTATGTAAACAAAATAAAGGTTTTAATGACATCCCCAGTATGTTTGAAACATATTAGAGTATAATTCAATTAAAAAAACTAGTGATTCATGCAATTAATTAAAATAATGATATGCTATTCAGAATATTTCATAGGAGACCAAGATCTATGACCCTTAAATCCACATTTGAACAGAATATCTTATATTTTCCTGACAAATTTTGTATTCGTTTTTTTTTATACTAAAGCAAGGATTTGGTTGTAGAAATAATCATTATTTTACTATACTAATATACAAATCATCACTATATCACATTATTATTTTGCTGATCGTGAGATTCATTTAAACATTATGCAATATACAATAAATGTGTCTTTCTGATAAAATCTGAAAAGAATCCATATTTGTTGTGCTAATATTCACCCACTTAAATGTACTTAATACACATTGTTTGATACAGTTTCATTATTTTAAAGGGATACTCCACCCAAAACTGAACACTCTGTCATTATTAACTCAACCTCATGTCATTCCAAACCTACATGACTTTCTGTCTTCTGTGGAACACAAAGAAAGATATTTTGAAGCAAGTTGGTAACCAAACAGTTTCCATCGCCACTGACTTCCATTATATTTTTGACCATACAATAGAAGTCAATGGGAGCTGAAACTCACCAACATTCTTATAAATATCTTCTTTTATGTTCCACAGAAGAAAATCATACAGGTTTCAAACGACATGAGGGTGCGTTAATGATGACAGATGCCTATAGAAACGGCCCTGGTGATGACTTCACTTTTGGCGGGAATCCTGGCTCTAGTGCAGAAACGTCAGGCGTAAACCATGCTTTAACTTCTAGACCTCCCATGATGGAAGCTGACATTCCATTCCGGCTGAATCTTCACCACAGCAGGACTCAAATCAGGTGAATATCCCCCAACCATCCTGCCATAATGGGAACCTTGTGTTGCTTTTTCACTCTCTGAAGTCACACAGGAGGTGATGTAATTTCCAGCGGCCATTGCAGGCTTTCTGCGGTACAAGCCCTGTCTGTAACGCTGTAACACATTCTCTCTCAGTGACCCAATCGGGTTAATGACTATGTTTCATTAGAGGGACAGACTGACTGGTCAGTGGGAGCAGCTGCCACCCCTCACAAACATCTCAACCTTTATCCATTAGCTCTCATCAGATGCTGGGACGGGCAGTGGAAGACACCCCCCAGGCGGTCCACCCTCCCCTGGACTGACCTCTGCAGATGAGCCCCTCATTGTTTACAGTCTGCTTGCACACGCCACAGTGCTTCCCCTTCTTGAACGTCTTCAGCCGGAAGGTGTGGGAGTGGACGGCTTCAAACTCTTCAGGCTGCAGTGGAAAAGAAACAAGGGATATTATAGAGACACGATAAGGACTCTTACAACTACAGCAAGACGATCCAAAAAATAAAAAGAATATTATCTTGATCAACCAAAGGAACCATCATTTCAAACAAACCACCAATGAAATCTAATGCAAGAATTAAAATACAGTAAAAATCTACTTCAGTATAATCAAGTCATGTTTTCCACACTACATAAACACGAGAGAATAATACTGAATATTTTGAAGCAATATAACAATATAATTGAGCAATATGCAGCAATCTAAACAACAACATACTAATAAACAGCAACATTTACCTGATTATGTTTTCAGTGCACATTGTAATATATGAAAAATAGTCATGACACAAAACAAAACACTGAATCAAAGTTTTGAACCAATTAACCAAAATGGACAGTTTGAACCAATAGTTAAAATTAAATTATTATTATTATTATTAAAACAATTTGTCTTAAAAAATACTTTCCTATGAACATTAATGGTGTGCAACTGAATTCCCTGCAGTTTCATCAGATTTGAGCACCATGTAGGTGGCTCTTCCCTACGGCTGCCAGTCTAGCTTGGCAGGGATCTGATATGCCACGTGTCTCATATATTGAGATGCTGACGGAGCAGCATAGAGAGGAGAGCAAAGTTCAGCTGGCACCGAAACTGGCCAGTGTTTTCTGACATTTGGACAAACAAACTCCCAAGTGTCTTCATTCTGTAATGTTTGCCTGACTGAGCAACAGTAACTAAGGGGCCGGAGCCTTGCAGACATTAATTGCTGCATGAGAAAATTCCATGTAGTAGATCAGAACTATTGTATATGGAGGAAATGACTGTACAAGACAGACCTCCTCGATGCACTAATGTAAGCCGACATCTGGATTTATAGACTGAGACTAGTTCAAGAAATCCTAGTCTAATTCTCAAAGGTTTGACGCCACCGTAAACAAGACATCTACTGAATCTGTACCAGCTCTATAAACATTATAATGCCAGATAATCTCAATTCTGTAACATTTTTATCGTCTTTATGATCCTCAATGGAAAGCAATGCTGTAGTCACGCTTGAGGGTTAATTTCTTGCAGTCTTCTCCCAAGAGATGCTCTGGACAACCGAACAAAGATGATTTATCTGAAGAATGAAACTCCATGGGACGGTGTGACATTGACGGCTATGTGCCAACAATGACATGGTCTCATTTCTATTCCTCCGTCAGGACGCGCCTCGGCACCAACTTAATGTGATTAGACTAATCTAATTAGCCAGAAACAATCAATGCACCGGGCAGGAGCCCCAGTCTGAGATCCGTGAGTCTTTAACAGATACTGGAAGATACCATCACAATCTACACATACAGATACTATACAGACTGCAGTCTGTCAACTGCTTGTATGTACAGCTCAGTTTTAAATTAAAACAACTATTAAAGACAATGTTCACCCAATGTTCATCATTTACTCACCCTCATGTTGTTTTAAATCTGCACGTTGTTTCTATTGATTTTGTGGAAAACCAAAGGGGAATTTTTGAAAAATGTTCACTTTCAAGAACTAAAAATCAGCATAACAGCGCCATAGTAATCCATATGATTAGTTTGTTATATGCCTAAACTTCTGCAACCATACAGTCCTGAAATCTCAATACTACAGACTGACACTGATGCTGGAAGAGAAACAATTCTCAAATAAAAAATAAAAAAATCACACCAAATATAATACAAAATGTATGAAGAAGAACATAATGAAAAAGAAACTGTATCATAAGCTACGAGGTGGAAAAAATGAACTGTGTTAGCAAAGAGCTGCGTAGGAGAGGAACTATTTCTCCATCCACTCCTCTGAACACTGGATTCAAAAGGAAAGACAGAACCGTCCAGTAGTGAAATATTTATCTGCTTATACATAAAAAGAAAAAAGAAAGAAAAATAAAGAAATAAATGTTGTTGTTGTTGTTTTTGTAAATAATAATCTTATTATTTTTATTTATTAACAATTACTTAATAATATTATTAACAATTAATAATAATAACAACGCATTATGTTCTATAACTGTTAATAAATGAAAAAATAAAACAATACTAATAATACTAATACCACTACTACTAATTATAATAAATAGTAATAATAATATCTATCAGTTACTGTATGTTAATAATGATTTTTTAAATGTTAAATAGCCCACCATAAATGTGTTTATAAAAAAAAAACACTTTCCACTCAATAGTACTGGCAGACATACATACATACACACATACACACACACACACACACACACATTTCTTTATTTACCCTAAAAAAAAATGGAAGTGAAATGTGACAACATGCCCCGTAGGTGGAACAGATTGTAACATCTGAGGGGCACGTTGTAACTTGACCATATGGACAGCTTAAAATCTTATCTGATCGAATGAAAAAAATTATACAAGACAAACTAAAATATTTTGTTAATAAAATAAAAAAATAAATAATAATGTATATATATATATATATACACACACACACACACAGTGGTGTGAAAAGGTTTTTGCCCCCTTCCTGGTTTTTTAAATTTTTTGCATATTTGTCACACTTAAAAGTTTCAGATCATCAAACAAATCTTTAAATTACACAAAGATAATGCAAGGAAATGCAAAATGCAGTTTTTCTTAAAAACTGCATTTTGTATTTACTTGCATTATCTTTGTGTAATATAAAAATGTGTTTGATGATCTAAATCTTTTAAGTGTGACAAATATGCAAAAAAAAATTTAAACTGGAAGGGGGCAAAAACCTTTCACACCACTGTATATACACATAAAATATATATATTTCTTGTTGTTGTTTTTTTACTAGTATAGGACAGTATAGAAGTGACAGGAAGCTATGTGGGAGAGAGAGGGTGGCAGGATCAGGAAAGGTCCTCGAGCCAGGATTCGAATTCGGGACGCCCGTAGCGCAATGGTACAATATGTCATCGCACTGCCCTCAAGGCTATCGGTGCCGACTTACTGGTATCAATATTTAAAATATTAGCCTCTACAATACTTGGTACTGTATTGAAGGGAAAATTCACTAATAATCTCCCCCTCTACTGAAGCACTCAAATGATGTGCCATCAACAATGGTCAATTTCAATGCAGCACGTCAATGCAACAAATGATATGAAGAAAAAATGATTTGGAACAATCTGAGGGTGAGTAAATAATGCCAAAATGTTCACTTTGGGTGAACTAATCTGAAATCAAAACACTTTTTTTACCTGAATGCAAAACACTTTCTCACATTGCCACATTTTGCACATTCTGAACATGCATTTGTACATAAACTGATTGAGCCACGGGACACGTAAAAAGAGAGCGCAAAAGGCCAGACAGGAAAATGTCTCAATCTGAATTCGTGAGAGCAGATAATGAGACTAGTCTGCGCTCCTGACAGTGAGACAGGACACTGTGAGCTTTTATTCACACAACTACAGGAGGCTGAACTGAATTAGACTGAGAAACAGTGACAGAAAGAACCTTGGCCCACAAACATAACACACTCCTCTACTGATACTCCCTTGTTTACTCTGAAAATACATACGTAAACATTCCCCCAAAACAATACGGCCAAGCTCCGCTATTATGCAATTGTTTCAGGACAATGAGGGTGCTCTGGAATATGGCTTATTGTTGAGGAACGTTGTGGCTGGGGATGCAGGAATCATGGGGAGGGCTGGCTAACCTTCCACAGTCTATTGAAACACATGGGGTTACGAATTACCCAATCCCATCACCCCAAACACTGCCAGCCTTTCAAATGGCCCATCTCACTCTCTCAGATGGGCACAAAGGCCGAGCCCCCGAAGCAGGGCACACATCATCTCCCATGGTCTGCGTAAATGTATACACAGCCCCCTCGCCGAGACGCTAAGCCCCTGGGAAAGGCACTCAGCCTCATTCAGACGACCAATCCATACAGCAGACAATACAGCCTCTCACCCCAGAGAGAGGAAGAGGTGGGGCGGATCACCACGCAGACGGAGCAGGGCATGATGGGCTCCAGACAGCAGTGTGCAGACCAGTCTTTGTGACTGATTAAGAGTTTCAGAGGAGAAGCAACAGGTGATCAGACACTGATAGCTCTGTCTATAGGGCCATATCACTAAATAAACTTTTAATATTTTTCAGCCTTTCAAATCTGTTAATATTTTTTAAGTGAAACTAAATCTGCAAGTACAAAGACAAAATGCACATAAAATACACATAAAAACAACCCTGAAAAGCCAATATACACTATATGTACATATATGCAGGGTGCGATTTGCCGGAGGAATGGGGGGGATTGCCCCCCCTCTGGTCTATGCATCCCTGCCTGTGCTGAATTACTTTTATCCCCGGTGGGGATAAAAACATCCCACAAACCCGCTCTGACGTCCCGATCTAAAGCAAATGATTCGCGATACACGCTTTGAAGTCCCGATCTGAATCAAATGATTTGTGATATGCGATCCGATTGGAGCGCTTCAAAATCATTTTGCAAAATCATTTAGCGACACAATGGTTTAACTGATTCGGAGTTTCAAAAAGCTCCATTGTGTTCTTTGCTTGCTTTCTCTATATAATTTATTCGTTGTTTGAATAACCGTGGAAATGAAATCATTACAATTAATAGCCCTAACGTAGGCCTACAATGTTTTTATTAAACTGTGATCACGTTAAATACAGTTTCCGTCATATTAAAAACATTTCATAAAAATGTTCAAAAGCATCCCCCCCTCTGTTTTTTTCACAAATCGCACCCTGCATATATGTAATCGGTAAACCTCCAGATCCTCCCGTCAACCCTATTGACAACTGCACTCCATTGGTTTGAATCTTACCTCTCAGATAGGTCCTTCAAGGTATCTTGGAGGGTTGAGGTGTCCAAATCACAACATCTAGCTAATGGGATGACTCAGGGCTCAGTTATTGCACCGCTTCTCTTCTCTGTCTACATGGCATCACAATGGGTTCTGTCTTTCAGAAACATAGCTT